GGAATTTCTCCAATCGCCGCGATTGAATTCAAAGTAGGATTCAATCCTACTTTTTGGGCGAGTAGATGCATTTGTTGAGTCCTGTTTATTCTTGATGGATGCGAAATCCACCAGTACATGTGGTCTACATGTGTTTTTGTTTACGTTCTTCTGTCTTCGTGGTTCTCGCACAGAGTTGCTAAAAGAAATTTCATCGAATGAAATTTCGTGAAATTTCTTTTTTCCCCATGAAATTTCTTTCGACCGACAAAATGTCAAATATGCTTGTTTTTTCAAACAGAATTTGTTTTTATTTTTAAAGAGAATAGTGTTCGTCAATTAGACCAATTGGAGCTACTTATTTATCAAATATTTATTTCCTATTTAAAAAAAGAAATACGTTAGCGAAGGAAACTGTTAGTTTCTGAAAAATCATTTAAATTGTTTCAAGGATAGTTTAAGATCCCCCCCTCGCTTTTGTACCAAAAAAGGATAGACTAATAGGGGGAACTAGGATTCTTTATAGTTGAGAAATTTGTTATGTTCCAAATATGAAAGCTAACGTCTTACTTTATCCGTAAAATTTATTTTGGTGTTCAACCGGTACGGCTGTGTGTTTAACCAAGATTTGAGAAAAAAATTCAAAATTATGTTTTTGCTGTTTTACTCAACTTTCTGGGCATTTCTAAAGTTTCCTTTCATAGTTTACCACGTGTGTATAAAGGGAATTAAGGAGATTCATAAGTTTCTAGGGTTTAATCCTGCATTCTGAGTGTTATATGAAATTTCTGGAAATTTCTGGAAATTTCCTCATGAAATTTCTTTTTATAATTTTTCATTTTTGTAAAGATGTAGCAATTTCTATTGCTCTCAGGAAGAAAATTAAGAATATCAGAGATACCATATGCTGCAGAAGTAAGGGAAGTCAGGAAAGGTTGTAATAACATAAACAATCAGCGCTGATCGCGGCGATTAATCGCTAGGTGTATACGTAATCGCACTGATGGTCTCTGTTGATTGTATTGCGTTGAGCGATGCGACCCGAACCAACCCAATCGCGGCGATTAATCGTCGTGTGTATCTAGGCCTTAAAGTGTGCCAACAAAATTTGGGCCCAGATCCATACTTTATCAACCAAACCACCAAACAACATAAACAATGCAGTGTTATCTAACGATGGCGGCGCGAAATTCGAAATAACGGGGATTGTCGCTGTTCTTCGATTGAGGACAGGGGATAATTTCTTGAGCGCCGCCGCGCGGCGCTTAATGGTCCTAAACTCAAGAGTAGGAGGAAATGAGAAGGATAGTGACTGAAAGATCACGAAAGTTTCGAAACTGATGTTTTCTTGAGTCGCTGATTTGCAATTTGATGTCAAATTGCCTGCATCTTAACACCCTGACCTACAAATTGTGGGCAAGTTTATGGCAGGCTGCGGCGCGGTGCGGCGCGGCGTGCTGTCGGCTCGGAACGCATACTGACGCCTACAAACCTAAGGGGATACTTCAAGCATTGCGCAATGCGCAAGCATTGCGGGAAGTAGCCCTTTAGATTTGTAGCCGTCAGTGAGCTTTCCGCGCTGTCAGTGCTGCCGCGGCTCTCCCGCTGCCTAATGGTGACCGATTTCTTGCGGGGAGAGCTCCCTAGCGGAGAAACTCATGTATCGTGTAATTTATTTTTTTATTTTATTTTATTTTTTTTTAGTTTTCGACCTTTAAAATTACACATTGGTCGTGTGAAGTAATTAGTGAACTCTCACCGCTAGATGAAGTGTAATAATGAAAGGCGGGTCGTGCGCCATGCGCGCTGCGGACGGCGCAGGACGGCTCATAAAATTCTCCCCTGTGCTATGTCGGCAGTTTTTATCTTTTCTGTACATATCTGGGTAATCGATTAAAAATGGTGACAAAAATACAAATTATTGGATGGGAATGAAACGTATTGCATTGAATGTTCACAAGAAAGCTGTGAAGAAATCGATGATTTTCATTGTTTGTCATGCACGATCTAGAAGAGCGCTAAAGCACACTTAGAAACGTATTGGGGGGGGGGGGGGGCTAACGTTAAGCCTTGAAAGTTTTTTTTATTTGTTTATTTATTTATTACATGGATTATATTTTCAATTATTTATTCATTACTTATTTATCCTTTTGCGCATACAAATTGTCTGATCCCAGTAGTAAGGTATGACGCTAATACTGTAATTTCTAAACGCGATATTAAAAAAGTGTTAGAGTCGTGCCATGTAAAATAAAAATTTATCACTCAGAATTGCCTGCTAACTCTTTCGTTGTTATTTCTCAAGAGGAAGGAGTCCGTTGGCTGAGTATATTTACAGCTCTGACTTCTGCGCTCTACCAAATTACAGGTTGGCAGTTCGTTGGCTGAATCTACTATTTACAGCTCTGCACTCTGTCATCTACCAAATGACAGGCTGGCATGCACTTCTTCCAGTGGCGCGGCGCGGCGTGCTTTGCGATAAAGCGATTGATCTGCCATTTAAACCTGTGGAAAAGGATCGATGAAGAAGGTATTCGCAACGAATACCTGAATAATCGATTTTTTACCATAGCTTAAAATGGGGAATTATCGATAATCGATCATTCACGCCTCGCCAATGACCTCCTCTCTTGACTCTCGAGTTATACTTGTGTAAGGATGTGGTCATTTAGATTCTTTGTGTTCTGCAAAATGAAAAAAAAAAAAACTGTTAAACGTAAGCCTATATGGTCATCCTGAATTATTTGGAATTTTACCGTCTTCTCGTTGATATTGATAATGCTTCTCTCTATCTATTTCTATAATAAATATAAGAAAATTCATTCTAGAAGTATGCCATAATAATGCCCGAAAAGATTTTAATAGTTAATGATCAATAAAAAATCTGCCCCCTTACCCCTCTTCAATGTTTTCTCTCTACCCGTCAGCGCGCGAGCGATATTGTTTTTATGTTAAATCTGTAGAGAATCCTTCAGATTTAACTCCAGGCATGAGATTTTAATAAGTCACAAACGGAGGACTTGGGGAAACTCGTTCAAACACGGACGAGAACGTGACTTAGAATATAGGTAGCGCCCGGCTCGAGCGCAAAGCTGTTCCTGCTTGCTAGTAGTGAAATTTGCTTACCCAAAAAATGAAGGGGCACTTGCCGGTTTTTCCCGGGAGCTAGCTAGGCAGCCGACAAAAGAACAACTGCTATTCGACTGACGGTGTTTACCAACTGGTTACTTTAGAAATGGATTATTGCAAGGGATTACAATGATTTGCTGCCGCAAAAAGTGCAAAATATGAGAGAATTTTGACAAACTTTAAAGTAAGGTGCGAATCCACCTTACAATTTACAAAACTTGCAATATATTCTATTCCGCACTGTGTATTTTTAGTGGTGGTAAATCATGATTATTCTTTTTTAAAGTTAAACCGCTGAATTTCACTCGGGATTTGCAATAATTGTCCTTTTTATGACGCTTTTTTAAGGCATTCGTTGAGCCTCCCTCAAAATTAATCACAATTTCCCTGGTAAAAATTGGCAGTAGAATCTGTGTTCCAAAATACCATAGACCTAAAGCCGGCTGTAAGATTTCTAATAGCTTCTATAGCCGGCTACACAATTTCTTATAGCCTTTTATAGCCGATGGCGACTAAGCAACATCCAGGCGATAAAGTGTATGCTAAGCGTTACTAATTACGGATGCTAGGACTTAGTGAGTTTTTGGAATACTGCTCTCTTTTTGGGCCGTAGTATCTTGATTTATTTTGCGAGGAAAGCTCCGTACTTTTGATGGATGCCTGCCATTACTAATATATTAGAGCGTATCAACCTTTTATAATCGATGGCGAAAAAGCAATAGCCAGGCGATAAAGTGTAAAGCCCGGCGATATAGGAACTATAGCCCGGCTGCATAATTTTTTATCGCTTCGTATAGCCCGGCCGTATGATTTTCTCCGCATGATTTTCTGTAGCCTGCTTTAGCCGGCTATAAGAATTCCTATGGTATTTTGAAACGCAGCTCTTATCGCCAATTTTTACCAGGGTTAAAAAACCATGCGAGCCGTGAGAGGAAAGGAGTTTTGTCTGGAGGAACGACTATGCGTGAATATATGTCGATAAGCTATGTGCCTTCAATCAGTAGATAGGCAACATACACAACACTCCGACGCAGTAGCAACAATTTCATCAGGTAATCGCGATTCATTGCAATCTGCAGGCTGATTGTTGAAATTGATCGAGAAAATTATAGACAAAGAAGACAAAAGGGGTATGGAGGGTATGGGGTAGAAAAGGGTGACTGCAAATGAACGAAGGAGGTGGGTGATAAACTAACTAACGGCAACCCACGAGAGACCCTATAGTTAGTCGATCATTTTCTCCCTTGGTCTATACTGCCGCGCTAAGGAAAAATGCCGTATGAACCTTCAGGCGTTGCCAAATTTCCCTTGATAAAACGCAAATTTCCTGGTAAATTAAAGAATGTTATCCTTCCAATTTTTCAGATAATTTTGTTCGCAATTGCGCCGAAAGATTCTGAAAATCGCTAAAGGAAATATATTCATATAACTTTTCTCAAAAATAAACATTTTATCGAAGAAAATTTGGCAACTCTCGAATGTTCATACGGCGTTTTTCCTTAACACTTAACACAGCAGTATAGGAACCAACCATTTCAACCAATAGAATCGTTTCATACTCCCTATGTCTTCTTTGTCTATCAATTTCAACGATCGACCCGCTACTTAGGTATATTCCTTAGTTAAGGTAGGCACTGGAGCAGCGGATTGCATAAGCATCGTCTGGATCGTTTCTCCTCGAATCAATACGTCGCTTGGCTGACATAAGGGCGTAACTACACATTGAGATGAGCCCGGAAAAACATTGAATTGTATGGAGGACGAGGTTCATTGCAGAGTGTAGTTACGCGTAGGCGACGAATAGTAGGTTCTCGACTGGCCATTAGGAGGCGAGTGGTGCGACCACGGCGGTGACGACGGGGCGGGCTTGTGTTAGGACTGATGAATGAACAGATCAGTTGATCATTAGGATCGAGTCGCGAGCAGTAGTGGGGTCCGATTCTCAATCACACCACTTTCCCCTTCAAATATTAAAACGAATAAACTTTCTCAGTAACTCCGCGACACCAGGTCTAGCCAGCCCGTGCCCTCCAGTCTTATTCTAGTTATACTCCCCGCCAGACGCATCCTTCAACATGATTTACGTACAGGTCAGTCCAACTTCTCGATTTTTACCGCTGGAAACGTGACATTTTCTTCCACAACGCAGCAGTATATTATTAATATTTTTATGTAGTTTTTTTTTTTTTTTTTTTTTTTTTTTTTTTTTTTTTTTAAGTTGTAAAGAAAATTAAATAAATTGCGGAATTTTTTTTTTCATCATTTATACATTGGACCATCTCTAGGATCAGGGACCCTCCTATCGGCTAGCTCAAAATGAATATATGGGCGGTAATAGCACACCACGATATGGTAGAATATTTTTTTAATACCTATTTAAGTAAATTAAAAAATAACAAAAATATATAATGAAACTTCTTCTGTAAAACTCCTTCATTAATTGGAACCATCCTATGGTTATAAAAGATTTTATAGGAGAGGTACCAGAAGAGGTAACAGTAGTGACAGTGTTTCGCATATTAATGATAATAAAATAAATAAATAAATAAATGAAAGAAGAAATGATAAAATGTATAATAATAATGCTGCATGAAAACTTCTAAGGAGAATATTTCTTAAATTTTGATCGTTTGCGAGAGAGGTGACTTGCCTAAATTTTTAGGTAAATATTTCCAGGAGCAATGTTATCCAAGGTTTGCTAGAAATTAGATTTCGAGCGATTCGAAGCTAGGTTTCTTTTTTTTTCGTTAGCAGCTTGAACTAGGCGTGTAATGCGACTATGAATATACAATCAGATTAATACTGATTTTTTTCTTTGCGCGTGTTTGAAAGAGTTTTATCGATATTCCTCTCCTACAACCTTCACATGTTTGTGTGCCTGAAAATACTGAATAAACTGTGTTTTTTCACACTTTAAAGACGAGGAAATAAGGAGAAAAAACACGTAAACTTGACTTAATCTACCACTGAAAAATATCGACCTTTTCCTCAGTTCGGAGACACCTCGAGCTATCGCAGAACATTTTTACGAAGCAAAATACCTAATTCTTACAACTGACACGTTCGAATCATCTGAAAGTTGAATTAAATTTTGCTATTAGAAGACTTTATTTCTAGCTCACCCATAAAAGCACCTATATCTATGAGCGAAAACTATCGTAGCACTTTTTATGGATAGTTTTTAACAGGGTGTCTACCAAGAGAGGCTGGTCAAAAATCAGTACTGCTTTCACAGTACGTTTTCAGGACATTCCCAAAAAATGCAATGCCTCCTCGACAGAAAAATTCAGAACTTTTTCAGTACCTTAATTTGACGAAATTCGACAAATTTAAAAAAATTGAATTTCTCGCTCAAATTGCGACAAAAATGCCCAAAAATGAATCAAAATTCCGGACTCCTTGCGAAATTTCCGCACTTTTTCAGGACTTCCGGACCGCCCTTAAAAAATCAGTAGTATTTTTGGACTTTCCGGACTTGTAGACACCCTGTAGTATGCACTAGAAATACAGTGGTTCTTTACTGCAAAATGAAGTCCAATTGGGACTATGTTTTGAGTTTTTCCTCCGCATTGTTTACGGAAGCATAATATGCAATTTGTGATTGCAGATTACTTAGCATCATTTCGTATATATTTTAATACGTCGAATACCTCGATACTGTATTCTTACCGCAGAGGTTTACGTTCAGAACTGCGGCCTTTCTAGTTTCAATATCCGGTTTCAAGAGCTTTGGGACTAATCGCTTGCGCGTTCGGCTCTCGTTACGTCCTTGGTTATGGGTTCTTAATGACTGAGAGGATGACGGGACACTTTCATTGATTGTTTATTCCGTAACCGATTGCAAAACACGTCCAGCAGGCTGATTGTTGAAATTTGTAGACGAAGCTATAGACAAAGAAGATAGAGGGGATGTGGAGGGATCCTATTGGTGGAAATGGGTGGTTGCAATGGACAAAAGACGTAGGTGATAGACTAACTAACGGCAACCCACGAGAGACCCGATAATTAGTTCATCATTTTCTCCCTTAGTCTATAAGAGCCACCCGCTTCTACCAATAGGATCGCTTCTTACTCTCTATGTCTTCTTTGTCTATCGCTTTGTCCATCAATTTCAATAATCAGTCCGCAGGTGCTGTATCGTTTGAAGGCTACAAAAATTGAACTTTTTCATTCTTACGTCGGTAAGACGTACGTGCGCACCTAGGTACGTGCGTTGAAGACGAATAATTTTGAAAAAAAGTACATCAAAATGCGATGTTCAAAGTTCTCTTCGTATTTTAATCGAGAGACCGAAAGAGCCTCCCAAAAAGTGGCCCCTTTTTTGAAACTCGGGGATTTCATTCGTATGCGGCTTAAATGAAACCTTATGATGAGACAAGCCTCCAGTAAAAATTTTAGCTTGAGTATACGTCTGGTTTCCAAGATACAGCGTTGCAAAGTTTGCATATATAAGCTTTAAAAATTCGCATATTTTCAAATATCTTACTTTAAAAAACAACTCCATCAGATATAATCTGTTATTTTGTGACACTTTATCTACAGTCAGTCTTATCTTTACATCTATATTCCTATTGATACGGTGATACTGCTGATTCTCTTGATACAACGTTGCAAAGTTGACACCAAAGACCTATAAAAATTGCTCATTTTTGTAAGTTTCTGAATGAAAAAACGAACTTATTGATCACCAAAAGATCTGTGTATGGTGTTTAAATGTAACTTTATAATATGATAAGTCTTTTGTATAGGCCTTACCGCAAGCATAAGTACAGATTTAATGATACACACCGAAAAAAAAGTGACGTTGATTTAACATTTTGGATGTATAAAAAGAGTGCGAGAACTTACAAAATGCTGCATTTCCCGCCACAGAAGTTACTTCAGTAATGCCGAGATGTAAAACTAACTGCTACGGCAGTTAATTTAGTATTTTATAAGTTCTCGCACACTTTTTTAACATCCAGGATGTTAAATCAACTTCACTTATTTTTCGGTGCAGCGTTGCTAAGTTTATACATTTGAGCTTTAAAAATGTTTATATTTCTAAGTCCCGCGTTTAAAAAGCTACTTTCGTGGATCTTCTTTAGAATTTGAAGCATGAAATCTACCAAATGTGTCATTTGTAGCTTAAATAGGGATACTTTAATTGGTGGTGATACAGCGTTGCCAAGCTAACAACTTTAAACTCTCGAAATTATTATTTATGCAGGTTAAAGAGGACGTCAATGGGTGGGTGTCAGGCCTTATATCAAGGAAAAATGTCGAGGGCTGATGTCAGTTCCAAGTGACGATTGGTATTCGCAAAAATACTATTGCTAAGTTTATTAATACTTATTTTCAAACAATTAATAATAAAATTATTTTAAAATAAAGATGCCTCCAATACTTGATACTTAATTTTTTTTTTTTTTTTAAAAAAAATATTATTTTACTGTTTAATTTTTATTTGATTTTATTAATTTTTTCAATTTTTTTCAATTTTTTTAATTCTTATTTGATTTTTTTTATTTTTTCAATTTTTTACAATATTTTTAATTTTTTCAAGTTTTTTCAATATTTTTCATTTTTTCCTTTTTTTAAAAAAAAACAGTGGAGGTACTCTATTTTGCAAGGCATAATAAATGTATTCTCTAGATCAATATTTATTTATACTTAAAACAACTCGGCAAATTCTGTATTCTATGTTTATTTTTTTCATTTTACTTAAAAAACGGTTAAATTGGCAACTATGGCGAGGCATAATTTGTTGGATTTTGAAAGCAATGCTGGTGCTGCAAGCATTTCATTGAGCATGGCAAAGTCTCTTGAATTTGATTTTGAAATTAGATAATTATTGGAAGTATCCTAATTTTAATGTTATTTTATGATTAAATGTTGAGATAAAAAAAAGATAAACAGACAACAGTGTCATTTTTTACACCAACTGTCACTTAGAACTAACAAGATTCCTTGTATTTCACTTTACAATATCGAAACATGTTTGATCGGAGTTGTCTCTCATAAGAAAACAAGAGAAAAGACATTTTCAGAGATTTAGGATGTAAACTGTGCAACGCTGTGTTACTTTAAATCATTGTAGCCTTTTATCAATGCAATTATGCATCCAAAAGTATCACTAGGGGTTAATTTTATCCCTCAAAACGCAGTTTGATATTCACTAAAATTGGTTTTTAAACAAGAAACTTAAAAATATGAGCATTTTTAAAGCTCAGAAAGGTAAACTTGCAACGTTGCACTACCAAAACAGGGGTCATGCATGAGCTAAAACTTTTGATGGAGGCTTTTTTTATCATTATGCTTCATTAACGCTTTGTTTTAGAATGTAAAGTTCACTCTGATGTTGGTTTTAGGAAGATAATATTTGAAACTATGAAGATTTTTAAAGCTTAAATATGCGAACTTTGCAACGCTGTATCTCCGAAACCAGACGTATACTCAAGCTAAAATTTTTACTGGAGTCTTAGGTCATCATAAGGTTTCGTTTAGGCCACATTTGAATGAAATCCCCGAGTTTCAGAAAAGGGGCCAAAAAAGGCCCTTTTTTTGGGAGGCTCTTTGGTTTCTGTGCATGTAAAAATCGGTTTTTACACAGAAACCAAATTTCGGTCTCTCGATTAAAATACGAAGAGAACTTTGAACATCGCATTTCGATGTACCTACTTGTTTCCAAAATTGTTCCCTAGGGGAAGAGTCGGTTCCCCTAGGGAAACCTGAGGTTCCCCTCCCCTATAAGTTACCTATCTCTTTACCCATTAAAAATTGGGAGTAAATTGATAGGTATTTTAATTGGGTATATTTACTGTGACTTGAAGGAGCCCGGAGGTGGCATAAAAATATAGTTGGGTTGAAGTTTGACGCAGTTCACTGCGAGGTAACATTGTGAATAGCAATATACTCTTTTCGGACAAATAACTATTGCTGCGCGGAGAATGTTTTTGGCCTACCTCGACAATTGAAGGCGACGTAGCAACATGACGTCCACACCCTCTTCGTGTCAATCCTGCCTCCTTCGAATCAATCAAAAAAGCCACTAAAAGTCGGTGGTTTTGTTTAAAATCAACGTTCAAGCAGAATAAAGCTCTAAAAGAAA